CCTTAACCCTATATAAACCCGCTTCAAAAATGGATCTGGGCTCTCAGTCTGAAGCCGCTGTGACGGTGACACCTGAGGGTCCAGGCTCGAGCTTGCAGTAAACTCCTCTTGCAATTGCATCGGACCTGACTCCTTGGTGGTCTTTGGGGACTTCGTGACTTGGGCATAACAGTACAAGACTATGTGAGGTCTTTTATAGGGTCATGGGTATAAAGGGAGGCTGTGAAAGGAAAAGCTCAAAATGGGCTTGTTAAGGGGGAGAGTTCAGTGAAAAGGAGCTGTGGTCACCGGCCAGGGACAAGGCTGGAGAAATACTGGGAGTTGTGATTACTTGTCAAGTGCAGGGCTGAACAATGATGGGAGGTACAGATTGTAGCTGTGCTCGCTGGGCCTTAGTGACCCACAGTTATACATTTTAGCAGGTGTACAAGCACAGCAGAGCAAAGAGGTTGAATGATCTCCCTTCAGCCTAGAATGGCAGCACTCAGATTCCTTCAACAATGCCTTTTGCCCGGTAGCTCACTTAGAAAATAATAAACCCCTAGTGTGGGGAATCGTGGTTTTATTGTTCAGTGCCACATTGCCACAGAGTGATGAATCTACAGTAGAACATTGGATGTCATAAGCAAGAAGAACTATGTAATTGTCCCTGGATGTCCTATGTGACTTGTCACATCTTAGAGAATACCATTTCCTCCCATCCCAGTATAGCTCAGAATTCCTAAGTACAAACATAAATATATAATTTTGACCCGTTGACCACTAACCCCAATTAGTATGTTCTACACATTTGTTAATTAATTCTAGTAGGAAGGACTTTTTTTTTTTTTTAACAACACCAGGATCACTGAGCTGTTTGGAGCAAAACATTGCTCAGTCTTCAAAGAACACTTGGCTGTCCCAGAACTGAGAGGGATGGACAGTGGAACCCCACGATCTGATGGACGTGTCCCCAGACCCTCCTCACATGGAAATCGAATACTGCTTCTCTCCCGGTCAGTGTATCCCTCTGCTGGTATTTTCCCATGCTCTCTTCAGGTAATCAATAAACTCTTAACTTTCCTATACTCCTTTTTCCTTTTTAGTTTTTTGCAGGCAGCGTGGCATGGCCGAGGGGAAACAGTCCATGGCAAGGCAGGCAGGAAGCAGCATGACTTCTTTCCTCTTCCCCCTTTCACTCCATGCAGGCTACAAGCCTATTGGATGGCGCCCCCCCCCACTTCAGGGCGGGTCTTCCTTCTTCAGTGAGTCCATCATCCACACCCATAATTATGCTAAACCAAACCAATCAGTGGACTAATCCAGCATCACACACTGCTATTCAGTATCACAAGCTGATGACAGTCACCTTCCAAAAGTGTTTTGTGTCTGTCTAATTGATAAGCTCTTTGTAGTAAGTGTCTGAAATTCCCTCAGCAGCTCTGTTTGTTATGTTTATGTTTTAGTGCTCATATTCTTTTCTTTTTCTATTTATTTATTGCTCCTACACACCTCTCGCTGTGTTTGGCCTGTTACTATAACACTGGTTTTACCAACAGTCAAGGGTTACCAAGCTCACTTGGCGCATTGAAGAAAGCATCTTTAAAAAAACAATCTAGCTATTGCCATGGAGACTGCTAGGCTCAAAGTTTACATAAAACTTGCAAATGTGAACTTTAAACTTTGGCAACATGAAGGTTCCATCTTTTAGATTAATGTATGTGTTTCTGTGTGCTACTTTCAGGTACATATATCAACAGGATAAAATCCTCCCAAAAGTTCCCTTTAAGTTGGCTTATAGATAAATGAGTACTCATGTAATGAGTCCAAGTGTCTTTTGTTCATGCTTTAGGTAAAAAAAAATTTTTTTGAACAGGGGCTCGAACTCAGGACATTGCACTTGTGAGGCAGACAGTGGAACCACTAAATCCCAGCCCCACTTTAGGTAAATCTTTAACAAATGAGTTAATTTAAATTGATTGCTTAGAGAAAGTTGTTAAAATTGTTAATATACATTTTACCTAAGTTATTAGCTAATCAAAGTAATATTTACCTTTATTAAAAACTGAAGGGCCGGAGATTTAGCTCAGTGGTTCTGTCACCTGCCTCAAAAGCGCAAGCTCTCACATTGGATCCCTGGTACCAAAAACAAACAAACAAACAAACAACCCCTGAAGATATGATGTCTATTGCTTTCTATGTTTCTTTTTTCCTCCTCTTCCTGTTTCTTTTTTTGTGATGCTGGGGATTGAACCCAGGGAGTTCACACTAAGCTGTACCCCTAGCCCTTCTCTAGTTTCTGTTTTAAGACAGGGTCTGATTAGCTGTTCAGGCTGGGTGAAACTTGTGATCTGCCTGCCTCAGCCTCCTTGAGTGCTGGGATCAGAGGCTTGTGCCACCACATCCAGGGCTTTCAATGTTTTGAACATAACAGCTTTTCAGTTTTTTTTAAAAGATAAAACATAATTTAAAGTACTTGTTATGTTTGTCTGATATTTTTATTACCATAAACAATATAAAATTAGTTGTTAAAACAAGTAACTCTTAGAAACATAATATAAAGTGTATAATAGTAAAACATCTGAATCATCAGTTGCTAAATAGAAATTCAAATATTCCTGGCTCTTTGAGATTTATAAAATGACAAGATATTTGGACTTGTTAAATGTTTTATAAATTATGAATATATAAAAGGAATGTTTGAAATATGTTCTATAGGTTACTAAGTTAAATTTTTATATGTAATCATATATTTAAAAATCATATAGATAAAATATATATACATATAATTTTTTCTCTAGGTGGAGGCCATAGGGTCCAAGAAACTGCTGGACAAAATGCCCCTTTATTGGCTCAGAAAGCAGCTGCCTGAGCCAATTTGCTTCAGGTTCTGTACTGATGGGTACCCCTTCTAGTTTTCCCCAGCATCTTACCGGGTCTTACTCCTACAGATGTTACTAGAAGAAATGACTACAAGTTTACACTGGCTATGATGAAAAGGCTATGTAGTTTTCAACACTGAAAATTTAATACACTTAAGTAAAACCCAAATCTCATCATCTGTCTAGACCATAAGGCTTCTAGAAGATACTGACTTGCTATTGGTAAACATTTTCTATTTTTTTTTCCTGTACCAGGAATGAGATCTAACTCAGGACCTTGCACTTGCCAAGCAGGTGCAGGGCCACTGAGTTCCATCCCTGGCTTGGTAAAAATTTTCAAAAAACTCAGCTGGAAAAAAAATGTTTTATGTTTTACAACTAATACTTTTGAAAAAAATTAAGATTGTTTCAGGGCTGGACATTTAGCTCAGTGGCACAGGGCCTGCCTTGCAAGTGCAAGGTCCTAAATTCAATCCCTTGCAGCAAAAAAAAAAAAAAAAAAAAAAA